TGTCTGGTTACCGCCGTCGCTCAAAGATGGTTATAGCAGTCCAGAATTTTGTGTAGTTTTTTGTCGAGATTTGTTTGGTACCAGACACGAAATGGAGGAAACTAACCCTTAACAGCTCCGCTGTAAAAAAAAAAAAATATACTTTTAATGCGAGAGCATTAACTTTCTCATGGAGTGAAAAAGCGGCTGTTTACACCGCTTCGATCCCATTGGCTAGCGCGCGTCGACCAGGCACCCACTCGCCAGACACGCAGCACCATAAAGCGGCCGGTCGTTGAAAGTGACACTGCGCGTCAGTTTTAACGACCTGCCATTTCATGGCGCTGCGTGTCCGTCAGCGCCAGTCAGCACGCCAACAGCGAAAGTCGAAAGCCAGTCTTGTCTGTTTGTCTTCAATGTCATTCTTTCCTTATCGTAAATTGGAAACCAACACGCTCAACCATCTACAGCAAGATTGATATACATGCTTTCGCATTCACAAGTCATAAGAAATGCTTAGTTGTACCTCGATCTTTTTTTAGAGCGCAGCTCTTAGGAGCCCGTTTCCGGCTTGAGCGGCGTCGCCGTCGGCGTAACCGCGACCCCCCCCCCCCCCCCCCCTGCCCCCGAGGATCTCGGGACGACCTCGGGTTCCTTCGGGAGGACCTCGGGTTCTTTCGGGAGGACCTCGGGTTGCTTCGGCAGGACCTCGGGTACCTTCGGTGACCTCGAGGGAGGGGGAGGGGTCACCTGACCCCTCCCTCGAGGTTACGTGAGCCCCCCCCCCCCCCCCCCCCCCGAGGTAACGCGACCCCCAGGTCACGCGATCCCCTCCCCCCGAGGTCACGTGCCCCCCCTCCCAGGTCACGTGACCCCAGGTCACGTGATTCCCCCAGGTCACGTGCCCCCCCTCCCCCCCGAGGTCACGTGACCTGGGGGAGTCACGTGACCTGGAAGCACGTGACCTCGGAGGGGGGTCACGCGACTTCGGGGGGTGGTCAGGTGACCTGGGGAGAGTCACGTGACCTGTGGGGTCACGGGACCCCCCCCCCCGGAGGTCACTTGACCCCACAGGTCACGCGACTGCCCCCAGGTCACATGACCCCCCGAGCTCACGTGACCCCGCCCCCCCCCCCCTCCAGGTCACGTGACCCCCCCCTCCAGTACGCTTCCCTACTCCTCCTCAAGAGCTGCGCCCTAATTCGGCGTTACAGGGAGTTGTAAACGGCTTTCATTTTTTTTCACGTTTGTAACGTCCCTGCAGTAACCCCTTCGGGCAATGCGGGGTAACTTTCAAATGTTAAATAAAGAATACACACCAAGCCGTGAAAGCAAGTTGGAAAACGCCCGCCGGATGACGTGTCTTCAAGGTACACGAGAAACGTCCGCGCGTCGCTAAAACCACCCAACTCGAGCAGGCACCGGAAGATGGCGGTCTCACGTGCATTCATGTGAGGACGTGACTGACCCGCGCCTGATCCGATGCGGTCATCTTTCCAGCAGGGAGTCGTTTGGTTCGTCCAACGCTCTGTCGGCTTACGTTCTGCTTCGCTCACAGTTCCGATAGAACGGAGCCCCAGGTAGAAGCGGACAGCAGCTCGCCTGTGGTCTCTCAATTTTACAGGTTCAACAGCGGGTGCTCCTAGTTCGGGCGACATCAGGCGGCGTTCGTTCAGTGTCTGATACCGTGATCGCGGGGAGTGAGCGCCGCCACACTATCACCAGCCACGTACAGTGTGCTCAACTGTTAAACATAACGCGGGACCGGTGGCTGAAGCTGATACCAGAGCTGTCTAGCGATTAAATCAATGATGCGGCAGAGAATAAGCCGGCTCTTCTTGGGATTGTCGCCAGTCCCCGATACAATTATCGCACGACCTTTTCGTTCCTTTCTTTATCACCCACGCTTTAAATTTTTACTTTTTTTTTTCATTCTGTTTAGTAACATCTACGCATTTCCCATGCCGGGCTACCATATCTCGGTGATCTTGCAGTTTCTCTAATAAAAACCACCTTCTTTAAAAAAAAAAAAAATCAAAAAGCGGTTTTTTTTATCGCCGAGTCAGGCATCGGTGATTGTTTCGGAGCTGGGGGTGTAACTCCAGAATACAGCAGCGGCATAAGCTTAAAGACTGAGCTGGTAGATGGCGCATGCAGTCTCTCCGGCCACCGCTCCCGCGTTATGTTTAACAGTTGAGCACACCGTACGTAACGCGTTACTAGTGACGAGTTACTTCTACCTAGCAAGTTTTTTTTTCCGGTAACGAGTAACGTATTTAGTTACTTTTTTAGAGAAAGAACGAGTAACGTATTCGGTTACTTTCAAGGCCAAGTAACATGTAACGGTATCCGCAGCTTTTGAGGAGTAAGGCGACCCGAAAAACAAGTAAACAGCATGACAGAATAGCAACATTTATCGCTCAGCACATCAGTCAAACTCTACAGCTAAGAATGTCCTTCACCCGGTGAACACAATAATGTTCTTTGGATGAACCTTGTAAAATCGTGTACAAACCGAATGTAAACCCTGAGGTTGCCAACACGGGAAGGCACAGATCCCATTGTCAACTTGGAGAGAGGGGAATCCCAGATTCACCAGCTCTTCCTGAAGCAGACCACTGCCGTTCCTTCGAGCGCGACACTAGAACGACTCATCAGCGTCGCCGGCGATGTACTCTCAAGGAAGCGGCGAAACTTAACTGAAGAAAACTTGGAGGGGCAGCTACTACTGAGCAACGACAACTAGAAAAAAAAAATAATCTCCATACAAAAAATCAGTTCGTCAAAGTAATGAGAAAAGTAACTTGTTACCTTTGAGATAAAGTAACGCGTTTATATTGATAATCGGTAACGAGTAACGTAGCTAGTTACTGTTTGAGCGATTACAAAATAACGACATTAAATTTCTTTAGTTTTTTTTTTTTTTGTACGTAGCGTGTACATCTTTGACCATCACTGAGCGCGTTGAAGCGATGCTCAACCGAATCCTGCATTTCACAAAACACGACGGCAAAAGCGAGCAAAGGGATGCTACAAACACCAAGACATCACTCGTACAGCAATAGCTCGAACGGATGACCGTATTTCTCAGAAAAAGGAGGCGCATTTGACAGATATGTTTACGTCTTGTTTCTTTAAGAAGTAGACGGAACGGCATCGCGTCTTCTCTGCCTCGCCGCCGTGAGGGGGCGAAGCGAAGAGATGAGGAAACGAGATATCTTGACGTCACGCGCCTCGTGGCCTCGTTCAACCTCGTCCTCTTTTTCCAAAAATACGGCCGTCCGGGTAGTGTTGTAGGGATTGTAGCGTCCCGCCTACAGCTCCTGCATGGTTTTCTCATATCAAAATTTCAGCTCACCATCCCTTTAAGTCCGCGCTTCTTTACTCCTACTCCGATGCTCCGAGTTTCATACTCCGAGCGCAGCAACTAAGCGGAGCCTAGCGTACAGGAGCGCGACAACCGAAACTATCGACGAGCCGCACGAGCCACTTCCGACCGCACCATTATGACGAAACCCGGCATCTCGTGGATACGTATGACATAATACGAAATTATTTTGAAGATAAATTATTTAAAGCCTATATACAGATGCAGACTATGAAGTAAAAAAAAAAGACGGCGACGTTAGCAAGTGTCAACGAATGTTTTAATATTCTCTGACAGGTTCGAAGACTCTCTCCGAGCACATATGCGGAATGTTACCTTGACCGATACATTTATTGACCTTGCATGCTCCTCACAGTTAAAACGAGACAACATTCTTGTCGACGCAGGGAACTGTCAAACTTGTAGGAGTGCTTCCGTAGTTTCGCCATGCAGCGCGAGACGGAACCCGTCGAAGGGCTACGCGGATACCGGCACACCGCTGTTCAATAGATGGCACGCCAAATCGTTTTCAGACGAGATGCACGAACAAAGCTTTTCCGGGACGCAAATTGCTGTCTTCCTTTTCCAATCAAATCGTTTTTAATCTGCTGGATTAAGCACCATTCAACTGAAAAGGGGCAGCGATCCACTCCGCCCTTCGTTTCGACAACGTTTCTTTCAGCACAGCCATCTTTTTTGTGGACGTGACCTCACGGAACGCGAACAAGTCAATCGCGCTCCGAGAAATACTCGGTGCACAAAGAGCGCGCTCGAAGGTCAGTCTCCGGCGGCGCTCCTGTCCGTTTAGTGAAGGGCGCGCCAAACTCACGCGCTCCGGAGCAGGGACTTAATGCGCCACTCTCTCCCCATCGCCCTCTCCCCTAACCTCGCCATGTAAAGGCGCGTTTACACCGGCGGTGTGCGGCACTCGCGCGATAAATTTCATCGCAAAAGCGACCATCGCGGAAAAAAAGCGACGCACTTCGAGCAGCCGCTAGCTGACCCGACTTTTTGCGATGCGATCTAGTCGCGGAGCGGGTGAGCCAATCCGCGACGTTCGGAGCGAGAGTTTTCGAGAAGCGACTCGCTCATCGCGCACGCCAGTGTGACCATCAGATCTTTTTTTGCGATGCGATCTGGTCGCACCGCGCGAGTGCCCCACCTCGCCGGTGCGAACGCGCCTAAAGGCAAGGCGCGAAAAGCCGCTGGTCCCGTGCATAAAGAAACTCTAGGGGCACGTGGACGGGACTTAGGGCCACATGAAGTACGCAGGAAGTGGTCGACTTTCTCTCAGTTGTAAGCGGCCTGTAGACAGGTCGTTTATATCCAGGAAAACGTTGAGCTTCGATCTCCTGTTTATAAGTGGCCGAATAGCCGGCATTTAGTTTAGAGTGCAGTGAAGGGAGAATTTGTGTTGCACGATGCCGAGGTGGCATCAAATCAGTCCTGGCATTTGGTATCTCTGGCAGCCGTCTAATCGGGTGTGTGCGGACAAAGGGTAATGGCGCTGCTCGGACTGGCGGGCAGAGCAGGCAGGCTGCGCGCCGATTGCTCGGTTCTGCCCCGGTTCTGCCCCGGAATGCCCCGGCGCTCGCTGAGCCACCCGAGGATCCGTCGACGCGCTGAGCATAGCGCCGAGACTGATGACACTCACCTCCCCTGTTCTCGCTGTCGGCCGGCTTCACTTGGATTGGACGGTTCATCTGCAACAGGAAGAACGACGCGCAGTTCAGCCTCACTCTGCCGCCCTTCTTTATACGAAATGAGTTCTTCAATCTCTGCAATGTAATCACTTCCCTGGTCATTGGTAGCGCTCAAAGACGCAGGCAAAAGGCGGAGATCTAGACTCCATTGCGTGCACATTGGCGTCCCGTTCCCTCTTTGAGCGCTATCGTATATTACCAATGATCAGCGCTAACTAAAAGCATTTATAGTTGTAATTATAAATTATGTTGCAGCAATCCAAAAATTTGAGTTACCACATTTTCCGCGAATTTGACGCACTGGAGCTTCGTTCTTTAGAGTCCCTAACAATGCCCTTCTGTGGGGGACTTTGAAGGGGCCGAGACTGCGCCGGGACGTCGACCGCCGAGTCACTGCCGATCGACCGTCCCAAACCACGGCACTCGCAGAGCGACACATAAGATTAAGGGCGAGTCCACTCCATTCTCGGGATAAAGAAAAAAAATCTAAATAACTTCCATGATGTGACAGTGAATAGCCTATTGCGACTGCTGCCAGTCATTTTCGGAATAATTAAACGTGACCCTTCTTTAAGTCTGTTTAGTGACTGGTAACACTAATAAATCACTGTTACCTGCCGCTTTGGAAAAGAACACTAACAATCTTGGTATTCTTAAAACACACTAAAACAACTGACACGAATCCTGCTGAGGATTACTTTCCCACTTAATGCGATTAATAAAGTAGGTGACATAAAGGCGCAAAATCCGACGCAGCGAAGTCAAACGTTCCCAAATCAACATGATAGAAATCGGGTAGATGATAGATCTCGTAATAAAGTAATCACCAAAAAATGGCATTACCTTCCTACAGGACCTTGTAATAGACCCTTTTCAAAAATTCAGAGCCACCTGGTGGCAGTCTTTAAAGCTCCAATCTTGCCGCTCTAATGGTAATGATATAGAAGATAATGCTCCGCTAGATCAAGTGTTTTTGATATCGTGAATCGAAGGTGACGTAAAAAAACCAATATCGTTCTCCCTTTCTGCTTTAAGCATAGAAAGACGTTCGCCTATTCTGGTGTTAAGAACAACATTGTGAAAAAATTCATAAATTATTTCGATAAAAACAATTGTCGGCAACACAAAAATTGCTATTCCAATTTTTTTCTGCCAGGCGTTTTTCACTTATATCACAAATAACATACGACCACAACGTCAGTTCTTGTTATGGAAATATTAAGCCTAGGTGAACGTCGGTTTATAAAAAAAAAATTTTCGCGCTTCTTTTTTATTTTCTTGCCCAGGGAACGGTTCTCAAGCTTGGACCAGCTGCCCCGCCGCCGTCAATTGCGACAGGTTGCGATAAAATAGCGACTGCGCAGGCGACCTGTGCGATGTGATGCTCCGGCGTGATCGAAACCGAGGCTTAAAAAAAATGTTCTTTTCCGAAACGAAAATCTCCGGAGAACGATGAATCCTCAATGCAGTACATTACTCGCTGGGAGTATTGAGGCAGAACGGAACTGAAAGCTCTCCGTTCCCCTCGAGCACGTCACTGCGTACACGACTCGTATGAAGGCGAAAAGATTGAGACGTACCAGACACGCAAATTTATTCGTTTATGTCTTAATATGGCGAACGCCAAGAAACATGCGTATTTATTGTGGAAACGAACTCCCCTCGGTCCAAGTTGAAAAAAAAAAAAGTAGTGCGGCTTCCTTAACGCCGTAGGGAAAGCAGGGCGCTCGTAGCGCAATAAAGTGCCGTCAGGATCCGCGCCCTTTAATTAAGCACGGAGGAAAGCCCAATCTGCCTGGCCTTTTTGCGAACCTCCCTCCAAATTGGACTCGCTTTACGCCGGTAATTAGGTCGGACGTTTTCGGCATTCCTCGACGTCCCTGTTTGCTGCCTCGTGTCGCACTCGGAAAAGTACTAGCCCGAATTCCCGAAAGTCGTATTAAACGCCTCGGGAGAGCTATTGGAGCCCACGGCGAGGACCAGCGCAAAGCGTTCGCGATCGGCAGCTACGGCTCCGGCCCTTCCGACCGCGAGCTTCGGAATCAGAGGCGAGGACCGTCGTGAGCGGGGAGCTATACGCCCGAAACCTCGTCTGTGCTGCGGTTGTTACATAGGCTCGCCTTCCGAAGCGAGAGACTCGGGTACGAAGAGAACTTGCTCGCTCGGCATCTCAATGCAGAGCCGTTTTCATGCGGAAGCCAACTCTGATTTCGGCGTTGATCATAGGGAGCATTGCATTGCGTGCCAAAGTCAATTTTGCCGTCCAGACAGCGCATTTGTGGAAGAAAACAGCGACAAAAAAAAAACAAAAAAAAAAGAGACGAGACAGTATAGAGCGGATGACGACAGACTTCGAGAGGATGGCCAGCTGCGAAAAGTTTCGAAAACGAGGAGAAGAAAACGAGGAGAAGAAAAAGATGGAAGAGCAGCGTAGCTTCTGTTTTCGGCGGTGCCTTTCCGGGCGAGCGATCTGCTCTTCTTTTGCGAGGGAATCTGAAGCGCTCGACGCATTGGAACTTCAGGCGTGGCGGCCTCGCAGCGGTTGCGGAACCATTCGCACTGCTGCGCAAGTCGTCGCTCGTTCCGCTCTTCCTCCTCCGAAGAAAGGTTGCCGCCATCTATGAGCGACGGCGGCAACCAGTTATCCGGTTGCCGCCGTCGCTCATAGATGGCGATAGCTGTCCAGAGTTCGGTGTCATCATTTCACTCCGGCGGACACAATCCTGGGGAACCTAGCCCTTAGCAGCTCCACTGTAAACTAATAAAGGAGGGCATGGCGACGTTAAAAGACAGCCCTTCGGGCGCCTGGGAGGCTCGGTCTGGCGTCAGCCGCGGTCCTCATAAAGCGCAATTCCGGATATGACGGGATTTTCGATAGATCGGGCTTTTCTACAATTCCTGGCGTTCTGTGAGAGGTCAGATATCTCGCTTTATTAATTTTTGTCTTCCAGAGTGAGCGTCGCACAACTTAACTCGTGCTATTTTTAGAAGGAAACCGCGCGAGGAGCACTGCGCAACACTGCTACGCCGCATTTACAATGGCGGTCGAACCGCGTTCGCACAGCGGTTACGAACGGGGATGTTTAATGATACAGCGCAAGTTCACGAAACACTAGCGGATCCGTTTCGCGGTTGCGTTTCGAACGCCAGTTCGAATGCCCCTTCAGCGCGGACACTACATGAACGCTTTTTCGTTTTCAAAAGAAAATTGCCGGGTAGCACATTTTTCCATTCAGGTTACCGGCCCTAGTAAGCACTTGCCAGCCTAGTAAGCTTTTGCTGAAAACCTTCTGATTCTTAGAATATACCGGCGACCAGTCGTCAAAACTAACAATGCCGCGCTGAAAAAAAATAAAATAAATGAAGGCGTTTTAGCGAGACATTTCACATGGGGTTGGAGTTCACGCATCTTCCGATGACGTGCAGAAATTGGCGTATCGCTGGCCGAGAAACGAGCAGAATGTCGCTTGAAATGAATTTGTTCTATCTGATTCCGCCGCTACTGCATTTGAGTGTCGTGCTCCCAGGATTGACCCGAAAATTTGGCTTCGCGAGACAGATGTTTTCGCTGCTTAGGTTGTCAGTTTTCTGCCGTTTAAAACACCCGAAACCGTAGATCGCGCGTTAATTATATTTTTGTTTTTCGTTAGAATGCTTCGCTGTCTTGTGGCGTGTTGCGGAACACGTTGAAAATTATTCGAAAATTGCGTGTACCGTAGGACGAAGATTGACCCGTGGTCAGTAAAAATAAACTCGGTTGAATTTATTACTTACACCCGTAGACGCTACTAAGAACAATATGAAGTTTCTGAGTGGATTGGAGAGTGTGACACGTCAAAAGTCCCCGGCGTATTAGGTTCATTTGTAGCGCCTAGGGTCGTTGGATTCAAGCGACTATTGTACCGACCTCCTGTCGTGCTTCACTACAGCGTGACGCACGTTGAAGGCAAGCGGTCGTACTGCAACCACTAAACTTCACGTTCACAGCGTGAACGGTGTTCGTCGTAGTATTCGCTCCTTCTCGCGTGAGTTGAGATCTGGGCAAACAGCCCTCAAAGATATCCGGTTCCCAACTGGACGGCGGGTTTCGCGGTATTTGCGAGATTAAGTCTATCTACTCTTTTCGGAAAATGGTCGGTTATGCCACTCTTAGACATAGTTCAATTTTATGGCCAAAGAATGATGCGTAAAAATGAATAGATATATAAGGACCGAACGTCTGCCAGGGCTACCGGATAGATGGCGCCACTGAGTTTGTTGCCAAACAACAAAGGCAGTATAGAATAACGACCCTCTCTAGACATCGAAGCGCGTCTAACCAAATGTTTCACTAGGGCTGAGTGCTGTACGAATGCAAATGGGTTTGAAGCCGACAGGTTTTCAATCCAGACACCGATTCAAGAGATGGCGCTAGAGGACGGGACCAGGGGACTTCGCAGTAGTGTTCGAGAAAAGTATCGACTACTGACAATGTTAGGTGCCAAATGCTGCCATATGGCATCGGCAATGCTGGACACGCCGCCTGAACAGGACGGCTTCTTACGCGAGAGCTTTTCGACGCGGAAGCGCCATCTCTCGGCTCGGCGCATCTAAAAAAAAAAAAGACGGACACGCAGCGCCATGGGGTGGCGGTCGTTGAAACTGACGCGGAGCGGCCAATGGGAGTCTCGTCGACGCGCTCCAGCCAATGGAACCGAAGCCGAAATCCATCAGCTTTACTCCGCTCCTTTGGGATCGGGGAAAGTAGGTGCCGCATGGCTAGGCTTTTCGCGTGGTTTCATTGATGGGAGCTGGCTTCACTTGGAGAAAGGATTAAAGGTGCCGTTTGGCGCGGCTTCAAAGCTGATGACGTCGGCTCGCTCCGTGGGACAGTTAAGACATTGCGTACCAGCAATTCACCTCCAACAGTGACGTTATATGAACAAACTCACGTCGTCCACTTTTTTTCGTACTCCACACGGCGAAATTTAGACAAACGACGTTTAGGGCGCAGGCCTTTC